AGGTGTGTCCCAGGTAGACGCTGTTGAGCCTGTCGAGGTCGCTGGTGACTCTGGTGCTGCTGAGGGTGCTGAGCCTGGGGGTGCTGACTCTGGGGGTGCTGAGTCTGGGGGTGCTGAGCCTGGGGGTGCTACGCCTGGGGGTGCTGAGCCTGGGGGTGCTGAGCCTGGGGGTGCTACGCCTGGAGGTGCTGAGCCAGGGGGTGCGGAGCCTGAGGGAGCTGGGCCTGCTGGTGCTGTGCCTGGCGGTTCTCCGGGTGCTTCTTCTTGCCGGGAGCCACTCTCTCCACAGGAGCTGCGTGAGTGGTTTGCCTGGCGCTAGAGGCGAGCTGCTGGAGCTGGAGGTGCTGCGGGTACTGGAGGTTCTGTTGCTGCTGAGGGAGCTGGTGCCACGGGTTCCGGAGGTGCTCGTACTGGGAGTACTGGAGCTGCTGGACCTGCGGGTACTTCTGGAGCTGGAGCTGCTGCGGGTGTTGGCGCGGAGGCTACTGCTGTCGGTCCTGGAGGCGGTCCTGCTGGGGGTACTACTGGTGCTGCTGGGGGTACTGGAGCTGGAGCTGCTACTGGTGCTGGTGCTGCCACTAGGGGTGTTGGTGCTGTCCCTGTTGTGTCTGGAGTCGCCACGCGGCCTCGGCCGTACTTCGTTCCTCTCCTTCAGCAGGTTCTTGGTCTCCCGTCTTTTACAGGTCCTCCTCCTCCCTTAGAGTGTCCACAGCCTGTCCCGTCGCAGTTACAGTTATAGCCAGCCTCCCCACTGCCTGCTCCGTCTCCCTACACTGGTCCTACTGGAGGTCTTGCTGAGCGTCGTGAGCCTGCGTCTCGCCCTGCGTCGCCTGTCCGTGCTGCTCGCACTAGTGGTCGCGGTTCGCGTCAGCGTCCTCCTCCTGTCCCTGGCACGCACCGGATGTCTCTGCGTCCGTCCACTGCTCCTCTGTGTGCCCCTTTGCCTTCTCCTCCTGAGTCTTCTCTTCCTGCTCTTGCCGACCCAGAGTCGGACTCTCTTCGTGCTGCCATTCCTACTGTCATGCGTCTCCTTGCTACTGTTGTCACTGACCCTTCCTTTGAGTCCACTGCTGCGTCTGCCCTAGTTGCTGAGCTCGTCGACTTTGCTGCTCGCTGTCGTCTAGACTATGCCGCCAGTCTTGTTGCTGAGTCTGAGTCTGTCTGTCCTCCGTCCGTCGGGGGTGAGTGTGCCCTTGGCAAGGACGTCCTTGAGGACAGGCAGGAGGAGTTCCAGTGCTTGGCCGCTGCTTCACCTCATCTCGTATCCGTACTGCTTGCCCCTGAGGGAGACCCGGATGCACTTGACATCCCGACTCCGCGCTCTTACGTGGAGGCGATAGAGGGTCCCTACTCCTCTCAGTGGCAGGCAGCTATGGACGCAGAGATGGCTTCCTGGAAGTCCACAGGCACCTACGTTGACGCTGTTCCCCCTCCTGGGGCGAACATTGTTAGTGGCATGTGGATTTTCAGGGTGAAGCGACCGCCGGGTTCTCCGCCTGTCTTCAAGGCGCGTTACGTGGCTCGTGGCTTCAGTCAGCGGCAGGGAGTTGACTACTTTCATACCTTCTCCCCCACCCCGAAGATGACCACTCTTCGGGTACTGCTGCACATAGCTGCTCACCGCGACTACGAGCTACACTCTCTTGACTTCAGCATTGCTTTCTTGCAGGGCAGCCTGCACGAGGAGATCTGGCTGCGTCGCCCACCTGGTTTCACTGGGTCTTTTCCTCCTGGCACCCAGTGGAGCCTCCGGCAGCCAGTCTACGGTCTCCGCCAGGCACCGCGTGAGTGGCACGACACACTGAGGACTACACTTGCGGCTCTTGGGTTTGCTCCCTCTACTGCCGACCCGTCGCTGTTTCTGCGCACCGACACTTCTTTGCCGCCGTTCTACATCCTCGTGTACGTCAAGGACTTGGTCTTTGCCACAGCTGACACTGCTGGACTCGCCCACGTGAAGTCCGAGCTGCAAAAGAGACACACGTGCACTGACCTGGGTGAACTGCGCAGCTACCTTGGCTTGCAGATCACTCGGGACAGAGCACGCCGCACCATTACCTTGACTCAGTCACACATGGTGCAGCATGTGCTTCAGCGCTTCGGCTTCACGTACTCCTCGCCTCAGGCCACTCCTCTGCCTACTCGCCACTCGCTCTCAGCTCTGCCTTCGGATGAGTCTGTAGAGTCGAGTGGCCCGTGCCCAGAGCTTGTTGGCTGCCTCATGTACCCGATGACCTGCACACGACCTGACCTTGCATACCCTCTTAGCATTCTCGCACGCTATGTTGCTCTTGGGAGACACAGACCGGAGCACATGGCTGCAGCAAAGAGGGTGTTGCGCTACTTGTGCAGTACGTCGGGCATGGGGCTTGTGCTTGGAGGGCAGAGTCCAGTGGTCCTTACTGGGCACGCAGACGCTTCTTGGGCTGACGACCAGGCTACGCAGCGGTCGTCACAGGGTTACACCTTCAGCCTTGGTTCCGGCTCTGTTTCTTGGCGGGCTACTCGCTCGTCTTCTGTTCTCGGCTCCAGTTGTGAGGCTGAGATCTACGCAGGAGCCATGGCTGCACAGGAGCTTCGCTGGCTCACCTACCTGCTGACTGACCTCGGAGAGCCGCCTCGTTCTCCTCCAGTGCTGTATGTAGACAACAACGCCATGCTGGCCTTGTGTCGGGAGCAGCGACTGGAACACCGAACGAAGCACATTGCTCTCCGCTACTTTCTTGCTCGTGAGCTGCAGCAGCGTGGTCAGCTGCGTCTTGCGTACGTGGCCTCTGAGGCCAACACTGCTGATATCTTCACCAAGGCGCTTGCGCCTTGTGACCATCAGCGCTTCTGTACTCAGCTGGGCCTTGTGCCTACCTTGCCTCACTTGCTCACTTCTTGACCTTGCTTGTACTGTTACATATATATATACCTGCTCTTGCTTGTCTAGCCTGTTTATATATATATACTCCGGCATGTGAGCTGGCCTTGTGGCCTTGAATTTGTGCTCGGAATGTGTGGTGACTTTGTGATCCACCCTGAGCTTGCTTTGCTTTGCTTTGCTTGACTGGTCTTGTGACCCCTTGTTCTCCCCCACTTTGCCTATGGGGGTGTGTCAGAACGTTATAGCTCATGCATATTGTGTAGGCTATAGTGGGGTAGCCCATAAGGGGTACAACCCAATTAGGGTTAGTACTTGTGCCCAATTCATTCATAGTTCATTCATTCTCGTTTCTTCTCAGAGATGCGGTGGCCAGGCTGTGCAAGGTCCTCGGCGCTTGCATCGTGCTGCTTTGGGAGCACAATCACAAGGCGTACGAGATTGTCACCTGCTACAAGTTTCAGTTATGCTTGTTTTTCTTGGCCGATATCTTGGCGGACATGAACGACCTCAACCGTTGCTTCCAGAGACGAGAGGTGAGGTCGCATGTTTGTATGATGTTGCTACGTGAGGTTCGTAACTGCACTGTTGCTCATCCTTCTCCCTCTTGTCTACCCCTGCTCTGACACAGCTGGACGTGACTGAGATTGCGAAGACGATCGAGTCCACAACGAGTGATCTGATGGAGCGCTACTTGACGCCAGAGAAAGCTTTCGGGGGCGAAGGGAAGAGCTGGCTGGTGAACTTCCTCAAAGTCCACAAGGAGGGTGGAGGCAAGTAGGTCCGGGTGCGCGGCGTGGACGGTGCTGGACGCCCGATCAACCACCTGTACACCATGCATGAGCGGAAGCTGAAGGGGCACAAACACGGAAGCACCTACGCAGACTGCGTGAAGCTGTGCCGCAAATTCTCCCGTGACTGCGTGGACAACCTGAACAACCGACTGGATGACCTTGGGAAGCTGGGGCCGACGAAGCTGTTCCGGGCGGGGAAGTGGCCGAAGATCAAGGCCCAGTGAGAGAAGAAGTGTAAGGAGTGGCTGAACGGATGCAGCAGGCTGTTCCGCAACAAGCTGCCGGGATTCGACCTCAAAGCAGCAGAGAGGGAGCTTCCAACCTTCTGCTCGATCATCGAGGCACACCATGAGATGGAGAGCTTCACCCAGGGCCTGTCCAACTTCCTTGGGAGCGCAGACTCCAAGAGGTAGCCTATACTTTGCTAACATGGGTTTTACAATCTTGTTGCGCATCGCTAACTGTTTCCGTTGTGTTGTGTGTACGAATGTGCCTGGCAGGAGATGGCCCAACCTCATCCTGCTGTGGCAGGCGCTGGCTGTGCTCCCCCTCTCCACCGTGGAGTGCGAGAGGGGGTTCTCGAGGCAGAACGTCATCAACGCTGGCAGTCCTAGGTGCGAGGAGCGCTGTGCAACGCGCGTCTGGGGGAGCTGATGCAGATATCGCTCCTCAAGTATGAGATCGACTGGCCGGAGGCACTGGAGGTGTGGAGGTCCCTGCGGAGGAGGCGCCCTGCGAAGAGCTTGAAGCTGGCTATGGCAGAGAGGGAGAGGAGGGGGAAGCAGAAGGAGGGTGAAGATGTGGCTGCTAGAAATGCCGGGGAGAATGAGGATGAGGAGGAGGAGGAGGAGGAGGAGGAGGAGGACGATGAAGTGGAACAGGCCTTCGGCGACGATCAGGAGATCGTGGGGGAGGAGGAAGCGGAGGACAATCCATTCCTGTCGGACGATGAGGATGTGGAGGAGGTGTACTTCATAGACAAGCCCGTGCACTAGACTAGATAGAGTAGGAAAGTGCATGCAGTTGTATCATTTTGGAAAATAGTGCACTGTTAATAGCAACCCTGTTTTTGAGCTGTGAACCTTGTCCGGTCAGAGTTGGACTTCGTGTGACACTGAGCTATCAGGGTAGCTACCTTGCGAAAAATGTGCCCTCATAGTAGAGGGTCAAATTTTTTACTGGAATCAGGGAGTCCTAAAACGAAACGTCAGCCCTGATACATACAAACCATACACAATACTAACCTAAACCATACACAATACTTTGTAATCGACGAACAAAATGCCAAAAGGCAGGTTATACGTAACATACTAATAACAGCGTTGTTAGAGGTTCAGTCGTTACAACATCATAATGACCTCCACTTCTTTGGAGTTGAGTGGCTCCGATTCGACATTAGACTGCTTATATCGAAGCATGCAGAACCCGACTTGGTCCCAGGCGAAATCAATAGCATAAGCTAGAGTGAAGAGACCAATCATAACTGCGAATGCAATGTAATACCACTGCATACAATCCAGTATAGGATGAAAGGGGGGAGAATGAGAGAAGTGGAGGGCGGAGGGGGAGGAGAGGGGGGCGGGGGAGATAGGGAACACGAAGGAAAGGTTGATGTTGAGTTCCTATTATGACTGTAGCCAGTGTACAAAGGCCGAACTGCATAACCGGGTGGGGAGCAAGTTCAAAACTGGGACCTAAAAGAACAGGGAAGAAAATGGAGAAAAAGGCAGTGACATTCAAGTCAAGATGGTGCATAAAAATGCGTTTTCTTGAATATCCCAAGGAGCTCATAATCCGCATCGCAATCATAGACATGCATGACCACAGACAATACATTCAAATAGCAGAAGAAACTAGACGAAACTCAAAGCGTGAGCCAAGAAAGGTTGTAACTTGTGGCCAAGGGCAGCGATGCAGCTTTCTTCTTACTACGAAAGAACGACAAGAAGAAAATGGTTGCTAGACTCACATCAAAGCTGTATGCAATGAGGTGGTTTTTGAGGCGCCTCAAAAACCAGAAAATGGTAGCTAGACTCACATCAAGGCTGTAGCCAAATTGGCTGCAGGGTTGAGCTTGCAAGGTCGAGCCCAAGAAACATGTTGCTCCAAGCCATTCAATGAGTAGACCCACAAACCGAATCTCAATCAGAACAAAAAAGTGGTTTGCCAGACTCACTTCAAGGTTGTAGCTGAATCGGCTGCTTGCAAGGTCGAGCCCAAGAAACATGTTGCTCCAAGCCATTGCCATAATCAGGATTCAAGTCACATCACCACACACCATAGCCACAGCCGAACACCATAGCCACAGCCACACACCATAGCCACAACCACACACCATAGCCACAACCACACACCATAGCCACAGCCACACACCATAGCCACAGCCACACACCATAGCCACAGCCACACACCATAGCCACAGCCACACACCATAGCCACAGCCACACACCATAGCCACAGCCACACACCATAGCCACAGCCACACACCATAGCCACAGCCACACACCATAGCCACAGCCACACACCATAGCCACAGCCACACACCATAGCCACAGCCACACACCATAGCCACAGCCACACACCATAGCCACAGCCACACACCATAGCCACAGCCACACACCATAGCCACAGCCACACACCATAGCCACAGCCACACACCATAGCCACAGTCACACACCATAGCCACAGTCACACACCATAGCCACAGCCACACACCATGCATGCAGCAACTCACCTCAAGGTTGTAACCAAATCTGCTGCTTGCGAGGTCGAGCCCAAGGAACATGTTGCTCCAAGCCATTCAATGAGTAGACCCACAAACCGAATCTCACACAGAACAAAAAAGGGGGTTGCGAGACTCACTTCAAGGTTGTAGCCGAATCTGCTGCTTGCAAGGTCAAGCCCAAGGAACATGTTGCTCCAAGCCATTGCCACAATCGCCACTCCCACCACCCAATGCAGCGCGAACCAATAGCGTCGCGACACGTGGCCCTTGACAGGCCTCAGCTGTCCAATGATTGGCTGGAGGAAGATCAGCAGCAGCACGGCCAATCCCAGCCTGCCATGTGTCGACTGCAGGGAGCTCGATCCTTTTTGGACAAACGCCATGATGATTCCGACCAATGAGAGCGTGACAGCGAGGAGCATGATCCACTTGTGGGCCTCGAATGCATGTGCCTTGGAGATCCAAGGCTTTCCCCTGCTTGCAGTAGTACCAGTACCAGGCATCCCACTCTCTGCTGCTGCTTCTCCTGCTGCTGCTCCTGCTGCTGCTGACGCTTTTCCTGCTTCCCCTGAGGCATACTGTGCTGCATCTCTAGCTGATTTCAAATGCATATGCTCAAAGTCCCTCTCTTCGTGCAACGTTGCCTGACCTGGAAACCCTAATCTCCCTCCCGTTGCCTCTGCTTCCCTTTCTTCTTCTGCTGCCTGTGCAGCTGCTGCACCAAAATCTGAAGCAGGCTTATCAGAGAGGAATATCCTCGATATAAGCATGGCCGCAGGCATGAGAATGCCAAAAGCTACAGTGAGAATCCACCCGTGCGCAATATAGAGTGCTTCGGCGCTGCTGCTTGGTTCCTCAACTTCCACTGTGCCTGAAACGAAGTTGATTGCGACAGTGCCTCTGTTTGTAAGGCACACGGGTATGGAATGAAATTGGGGGTGGGGTGGGGTGGCAGGATGAGGGGGGATTGAAAAGAAGGGAAGGAGAGATGAGTAAGTGAGCTGGTTGCCACTGAAATTGGCTGCCGCAGAGAGTGTTTCAACTTCTAGAGAAGCCCCTGCTAGTGAAGTTGACTGTAACAGAGCCTCTGAGGTGGGTTAGGAAGGGGAGGAGAGATGAGTAAGTGAGCTGGTTGCCACTGAAATAGGCTGCCGCATAAAGTGTTTCAACAATTCTGCTTGATTCCTCAACCTCCACTGTGCCTGAAACAAAGTTGATTCTAACGGAGCCCCTGTTTGCTGATTCTAGCGAGTCACAGCACGAGAAGGCCCAGAGAATGCAAGCCCAGCCATACTATAGCCCTTCCTTCCTCCCCACTGCACAGCACTCACTCGTTGGGCCCATGGTCGTCCAGTTGCTGCGAGTCGGAGCGAGAGAAGGCCCAGAGGAGCACACAGCGGTGCTCATCCCATAAAGTTCTATCCCCCCCCCCCCCCCCCGTCTCCTTAAAGCCTGTGCACTCACTCGTTGGGGCCGTGGTCGTCCAGTTGCTGCGAGTCGGAGCGAGAGAAGGCCCAGAGCACGCTGGTGGCACCGCGGCTGCTGATGGGGACGGCTCCCACTGAGAGGGGTCGCTCGAAGCTGCAAGCGAATTGAGGATAGGGGAGAGGGGTTGTGGGTAGACGATACGGATGAAGGGGAGGAGAGACAAGGCCCAGGCGCCACTGCTGCGGATGGGGACCGGGGGGGGGGGGGGGGGGGTGGAGGAGTGCGGGTCCAGAGGGCTTGTTCGAAGCTGCAGGGAAAAGAATGGAGGATGGGGAATAGCGGGTGAAGGAGGGGGGAGAGAGGGGGAGGGGGGGTGCGGCCCCAGAAGGCTCGTTCAAAGCTGCGGGGAATGGATGGAGGATGGGGGAATAGCAGGTGAAGGAGGCGAGGAGAGTCCGGTCCAGAGGGCTGTTCAAAGCTGCATGGGGGATAGCGGGAAATGGGGAGGAGTGGGAGAAGAAGAGGATAAAGGGATAACGGGGGAAAGGGGCAGCAATGTGGGGTTTGGAAGGAAGGGATGCTCGAACCCTTGAATTTGAGGTTCAGAGGATGCTAACACCCCATAAAGACCGAAAGGAAGATGGGTGGGAGGGTATTGGGTACAGTACAGATGGCGACAGGGGTGAGGGAAGGGATAGAGAGATGTGGGAAAGGGAAAGAGGTGGGGAAATGGATTGGGGAAGAAGGGTCTAAGATTCGACATGGCGAGTGCTGAAAAGGCTAACAAAGATGGCGCTGCTGGTGCTAAGAGGGAGGAAAAATGTAAGGTGGGGAGAAAGGGGGTGAAACAAGATAAAGGGGGCGAGACAAGGAAGAGGATGAAGAAGAGACAAAATCTATGGGCGATCATGGCAGGAATGGGTTCTGAACCCATGCCCTTTCGGACCAAGACCTGAAACTGGCGCCTTAGACCAACACGGCCATCCTGACACATCTGACATGTGGATCACGCAGCCTACTTATGAAGTTGTATTTCCGTGATTGTGCTCATATATTATTGTGCAGAAGAGGAGTCAAGAGAGGGTTTAGGGGAAAAAAAAAATCCGACCGCTCAGGCTGGATAAGGAAATTTAAAAAACGCTCGACACTTACGTGATGGTGGTTCTCCCATTCGCTGTGGTGGCCGATGTGTTGGTGAGCTCAAATGATGACGTCAGCGCCACGTCAGACAGGCCATACCCGCTGAGGTGGTATGCTCCCACCGCCGCCCCATTGGCGAGAGTGCCACGTGGCAGATTCCCAATGGCTGCATCAGCGGGGTACATCTTGCCGCTGCTGGACCATCCAACTGCCACCCAACCAGACGTCGCCACGTCAGCAGCCATTGCTATTGTATCAGCCCCAGTTTTCCAGTGAAGGATGAAACTGGAAAGGGGGGAAAGGGACATAGGACAGGGGGGTGGAAGAGAGCGGATGTGAAATTTGTTACCCGGGTTTCCAGTGGAGGATGAAACAGGAAGGGAGAAAGGAGGTGGGGGGAGAAATGTGATTAGGGAGTCGAAGGGTGGAACAGGGGGATGACAACAGTCACTTCTCAGAGGTATTTAAGTATGAAAAGTCAGAGAAGTCAGCGGGTGTGTGGGTAATGAAGGGCGCAATCAGGAGTCACCCTCGACTCAAAGACACCCTCTCTCTGAGAGACATTTTATATCAAAAGTCACTCAGAGGGTGTGGGCTCACTCAGAGGGTGTGGGCTCACTCAGAGGGTGTGGGCTCACTCAGAGGGTGTGGGCTCACTCAGAGGGTGTGGGCTCACTCAGAGGGTGTGGGCTCACTCAGAGGGTGTGGGCTCACTCAGAGGGTGTGGGCTCACTCAGAGGGTGTGGGCTCACTCTCCTTACTCCCGCCCCGCCCCTCTCAACAACATCCCTGCCCCACTCTCTCAACTTTTACCGCTCACTCTTCCCCGTCCTCACCCGCTCCCCCCCCCTCTCTACTCACTCAATGTCTTAGTCAAATGGAACACACATATATGCACTTTGACGCCTCACATGAAATGCATGCAATGCAATTCATTGCGAGATAAATGCATTGCATTGCAACGAAGTCTTCCTTGCACTCACTCATTGCATCTAATACAGTTCATACCATCTGCACTCACTCTCTCCCTTGTTCCCCGTCCCCACTCACTTGTTGCCTTTAAGTCGAATGGAGGACGCATAGTCAGGCCGGTTCAACGGCTCACATGCCACCCTGCTCCTTGCCATTGCCACTCACGCCCCCCCCATCCGCACTGACTCGTTGCCTTTGAGTCGAATGGAGCACGCATAGTCAGGCAGGGGCGACGGCTCACATGCCACCCTGCCCCTGCCACCGCCACTCACTTTCCCCTAACCCACTCACTTTCCCCTAACCCACTCTCTTTCCCCTAACCCACTCACTTTCCCCTGACCCACTCACTCTCTTCTTATTTACTCACTCGTTGCCTTTGAGTCGAATGGAGCATGCATAACCAGGCAGGGGTGACGGCTCACATGCCACACTGCTCCTGCTCCTGTCCCTGCCCCTGCCACTCACTCTGCTCTTCACTCTTCCCCATCCCACTCACTCGTTGCCTTGAAGTTGAATGGAGCACGCATAGCCAGGCAGGGGTGACGGCTCACATGCCACGTTGCCCCTGCCACTGCCGCTGCCACTGTCACTGTCAGAAGAGACTGCTGACGTGGATGCCAATGACTGGTTCCCTCCATTTTCCTCCTTATGAGCATCATCGTCATCATCACCATCATTATCCACCTCCCCAAACCTATCATCATATTGATCCGCATCATCATCATCCCCACTCTCAACGTCTTCCTTATCACCATCACCATCACCATCACCATTTGAGGAGCCATTACCCTCCTTCCCGTATCTCTCATCCTCATCCTCATCATCATCATCATCATCATCATCATCATCATCATCATCATCGTTATCCCCATCATTATCCCCATCCTCTCCCCTCTTGATATCATCATTATCATTACCATCATCCATAACATCATTCCCATCATCATCATCTTTATCATTATGCCTCTCCTTCCATCGCCCATAATCCTTCTCGTCCCCCTCCTCGTTATCATCACCACCATCATCACCCCCCCTCTCAAAATCACCCTCATCCCTGTCATCATTATCATATGCATCATCATCATCATCATCATCATCATCATCTCCACCACCCATGCCAGCATCATTGTCACCAATGCCACCACCACCACCACCTCCTCCTCCTTGTGAGCTGGAAGGTGCAGACGCACATGAGAAGTCCACATTCATTGAACCTCTGAGTAACAGGATGGAAGGGACGGAAAGAAACGTTTGAGTGGGATTAGGTTTCTCATTTATCACCTACTGAGCTAGAGGGTGCAGCCGCACAGGAGAAGTCCATATTCATCGAACCTCACTCAACCACTGACTCACAAACTCAATCACTGACCACAGGGTTCACTCACTCACAAAATCTCTCACTCACTCACTCACTCATTCAAACTCACTTACAAACTCTCTCACTCACTCACTCAACCACCGACTCCCTCACTCACGCGTTGTTGCTATGGAAGGCCAGCTCAGTCGATCCAGACTCACCAGCATTGGCTCCTCACACATACGTCTCTCACTCACCCACTCTCTCCCTCACTCACTCAAACTCACTCACTTGCTCCCTTACTCACGCGTTGTCGCCATGAAAAGCCAGCTCAATCGATCCAGACTCAGAGAAAGCCCAGATGAGGTTGCTGCTGCCACTGAAAGCCACCATCATAGGTTCCCTCACTCACTCACTCACTCACTCTCACTCACTCACTCAACCACTCCCTCACTCAATCACTGACTCCTTCACTCACGCGTTGTCGCCATGGAAGGCCAGCTCAGTCGATCCAGACTCAGAGAAAGCCCAGATGAGGCTGCTGCTGCCGCTGAAACTCACTGGAACCGTCCCTCCATCCCCTCGGAAACGAGAGAACCTGCAGAGAGGAGAGAGAGTGGGACGGAGGAGAGAGGCGGGACGGGAGGGATAAGGGCCAGATGCTGCTGCTGCTGCTGCTGCCACTGAAACTCACTGGTACCGCCACTCCCGTCTCCCCATTGATCGGGAGAACCTGCAGGCAGAAGAAGGGTGGCTCGAGGGGGGGAGTTGAGGAGGAGAGAGCAAGTGGGAAGGGGGCAAAAAACTCAAATGCTGCTGCAGCTGCCATTACTTTCGGTACGCTCCTCTACTCCGGGATCTCCCTTGCTTTCTCATTTTGGATTCTTCCTGCCGTTACTTTTGACAGCCCCCTCTCCCAACTCTCTGACCTCACTTGTCAAAAAACAAGTGGATTCTTCCTGGCGTTGTTTTCTTACCTTATGATTGTCCCGCCATTACTTCCCCCTGACAGCACAGGCCTTCCAATCTTGAACCTATCAGAAGGCGCCACGTCAGACCGGCTGTATCCGGAGATCCGATACGCGCGCACGCTGCTTCCCGGAAGGTTCCCAATCACGCAATCCGCGGGGTACATACGGCCACGGTTTGCCGTCCAGCCGACGGAGAACCAGCCGGACTCGGCCCCACTGGCGGGTTTGGCTTCTAGTGCGAACTGCAAGTGCGAGGCGTTGCGCGCCCAGTGCAGCACGAGACTGGAGGAGACACGGGAAAGAGGCGCGGTGCAAGGGGTGGGGGTTAGCGAATGAACGACGGCCAGTTTCTGGGAGAACCAGCCGGACTCGGCCCCACTGGCCGGTTTGGCTTCTAGTCCGAACTGCAAGTGCGGGGCGTTGCGCGCCCAGTGCAGCACGAGACTGGAGGAGACACGGGAAAGAGGCGTGGTGCAAGGGGTGGGGGTTAGCGAATGAACGACGGCCAGTTTCTGGGAGAACCAGCCGGACTCGGCCCCACTGGCCGGTTTGGCTTCTAGTGCGAGCTGCAGATGAGAGGCGTTGCGCGCCCAGTGCAGCACGAGACTGGGGGCGGGGCGGGTGGGGGGAGGCGGGAGAGCGGAGAGGGGGAGGGAGAGGGGGAAGGGCGGAGGAAGAGAGCCGAAGACGGGGCTTAGATGAGCACGTTCCGCTCACCCACTTCGGCTCATTTCTTTCAACAATGCTTCTTCTACTCAACATTCGGATGTGCACGTTACAGGAAATATATTTTTCACATTACACGGATAAGCACATTTAGATCACGCAGTGCACTCAGTCATGTCCACTCACCCGTTTCCACGCATACATTTGCACCCACATGCATTCCCACGCACCCATTTCGACCCATTTCGACCCATTTCCACTCACCCGTTTCCCGATAGGTCAACGGAATTGGTGAACCCGCGCAGGGAAGACGGCTCGCATGGCGCGCCGCCGTAAGCCACGATCGCGCCGACCAACAGGAGAAGAGCGACACGTGTCAGCCGCGCGTCGAAGACGCGTGTCTTCGGAAACATTTCGACAAGCACTCGATTTAACGCGGATTGCTCGAAAATTCTCTGATGTGCGTAACTGGCAAGGTCTGTGGTACTTCTTGGTACCTATGGCAAGGTCTGTGGTACTTCTTGGTACCTATGGCAAGGTCTGTGGTACTTCTTGGTACCTATGTTCGTGATTGCAACATTCGAAACTTCGAAAGGGACTTCTACCCCCAGTAGAACGGCCTATTATTAACACGTGTATGACGCGCTTCGACGTCTTGCGGCCCGCCGGCCTTTGCCGTTTTATTCGCCGGTTCCGAGAAAGCAGAACGCGCTCCTAGCTTGCGTGAACGAAATAACTAACCTGCTGGAACCACCAGCTAGAGACACTCAGGAAACTGCGACAGTGGTTTATTCCGAAACTCCACTGTACTGTCAGCTCGCTAATTACCGATGAGTTTCAAGCTGCAGTTCAAGACTCAAGAGTCGAGAGCTGAGACTGGAGTAACAAAAGAGAATAGCAGCACCAGCTTTCCCCCTTTCCCCTCCTCGCCGGCCATGAGCACGACATTGCGCTGCGGTTTGCCGCGTGGATACGTAGTACTACAGTCCGAACCTGCAGATGTCAAGAAGGCTACATTTTGAATTTTGCAAATGCTTTTTCGTGATTTTCGTGAAGCACTTGAAAGTCACTGCAGCGTTCTCTGAGGCGCGAACAATTTCTGACTGAGAACGTGATTTGTGCTATCAGCACATGCGCTTCGGGATCACATTACGATAAGTATTCTGCTGATTAGGTCTACACCTAATCATTGTTCTGTATAACGAAGATACCGTTACTAAGGAAAACTCTGTTTCGCTGCTATCGGGAGGCATCCTGAATCACCGCTTGACCCCAACTGCCAATCAGCTGCTGCATCTGACGTTTTTCTGACTATGGCATTGGCTTCCCAAACGCCGTGTCTCACAAGCCAACCAAAATGGGCCAACATCACAAACATGCAAATTAGTGTGGCGACCCTAGGCGATGGTATGCAAAACCGTCGATACCGCAGTTCTGCTGCGCAAGTTTGTCTGGTAACGCCACTGTGTAACACTGTGTGACAGCTGACGCAGCACAAAAAAGGCAGAAATATGCGATAGCGTTATTTATTTCGAATATGTTTGGTTCTTACCGCGCCCCGTCTGGCGCCTAAAAACGATTCCATCGGACAAAACATTTCCGCTAAATTGCACGATACATTTAACGGAGAATTCTGTTGGAATGAAAGTATACGGGAACCATTTTGTAACACTAGATTGCACCCAACATTTTCGTACCTGAAACTGTTAGGGCATGGCATAAAACAAAATAAAACCCCCAGGGACCTGGACGCAAATCCGGAGGGATCAACCCTAAACACAAGAAAGGGCATTGTTTTTAGGGTTGATGCCTCCCTGAGTCGATCCCTGTCCGATTGGGTTATATTCTTTTCTTGGGTCAGGTGTAGTGCACAGAGTTGTTCATCTGGCAGATACAGTCGCCCGAAGAAATCGTAGTTCAGCGCAAAGATAAGCGCGGTAGGGATCAAAACGTTGTTTTAAAACGAACACGCGACTAGGGCAATATTTTAATAACTCTATAAGTGGGGTATCGACGGTTTTGCATACCAATGCATAGGGTTACCACACTAATCTGCATGTCTATGATGTTGGCCCCAACCAAAATTGTAAGATGGGTTTGGCGGGAACCAAGCTGTGAGGTGACCGACAGATACATCGCATCTACCTGGTGTGGTGTGGAGGACTCGAAGGTGCTTCTTTCCTCCCCCTCGTTATTGTCATGTCTGTGGGACCAATGGGGCCTTGTGCAAGTCAACTGAGCGCAATGCGGCAATAAAGGATACCGCACCAAACAATGCTCTCTTTGGCTGCACGATGTTTATCACCTCACCCAACCCAACCGAAACCACGCATCACAACATCAAATTGGGTTTTCTTGATCCAAGCGAGGCTGAGGACGCGGTTAAAGTAGACGATCGATGTGCGGATCGGGTCCTTATTAACTAAGTTGTAACCAAGCTACAGTACACTTTCTGGCCAAAATGTCTGTACAGTGTGAGAGTGCGAGTGATCACTGTTCGCGGGAAATCTGTCAATTTTCAGCCGCGATCGTTACAACGTCGCGGTCGCCACGTTTCGCCAAACGATCTGCCCATTCGATTGTGGGGATCATCGATATATGCAGACGATCCTGCGATATTTGTACTTTCAACGCGTCCTGAGACTGTCAGACACGAGAGGAGCTTGTTCAAGTAGCATTTGGGGTAGCAAGCTTGAGCGGGCTTGTTGGGGATCAGCAGTGACATTGCTGGAGACGAGACGAGAGGACTGGCCAGCAAGGTCGTCCTGTGCTGGTGCCATAGTGCTGGTAGCTTTGTCTTCCATCTCCTCTTAATCAAGGAGTTGGGAACAATGGCTGCTGCAGGGTGGCTAGATGTCACCAGTAAGTAGTACGGCATTGACGATCATCGTTTGAGTGCCAAGAATGTTAGTCTGACTGTTGTCTGCGACGCTGACTTGACCTAGCTGTGCCTGACTGTCACATTGATGACTGCAAGATTTCTTGCCGATGCTTCTTTCTTCTCAGAAATGTGTCACCCTGATCGGCTGTTCGTTACTATGACGATTTTATTACCCTGATTGGGTGTGCGTATTTTGTATGCAGTAATTGGTGCGAGGGATCTCAAGGACACGGAGATCTTTGGCATGCAAGATCCGTACGCGGTTCTGATCTACGGTCAACAGACTCACCGCACCAAGACTCACAAAGGTGACGACCTAAACACCGAACATTGTTGTGTTGTCTTTGTCTCCATTTTTATTTTCTACATGTTTATTTTCCCCGCTGTTACAGAGACCTTACTAATGCTGGTATTTCAGAAAATTGTGCCATTGTGAACTTTCGTCAACACCTTTCAGCGTTGAATTTAGGCTAACTAATGCCATACATCCGGCGAATTCTCTTCGCCGTCTTTCTTACACGTGAACACGACCAACTTCGAACACGACCTTTCAGCAATCGCGTATTTTTAATCATGTCCTCTACATAATTTTCGTGTCCATTGCTTGTTTACCCGACGGACACACGTCGCCGGTGTGGAACACGACCTACCAGCTGTTGTCTATTCTTCATCATATTTACCTCTGCATCATTTTCCTGTCCGTTTCTTTTTTTCTAGACGGACACACGTCGCCGGTGTGGAACACGACCTTCCGCCTGAACGTTATCCATGGCGTCGACGAGGCCCAACTCGCAGTCTGGAACGAAAACAGGAAGGCGGATGACAAGATTGGGACTTGCAAGTAAGCTTCCCTCTCAGCCAGTAGTTTTGTTTTGCGTTACCCGCACTTGCCCGCTTTCGAATTGTTATCCCCATTATATTCTAATCCGGATGGATGACGACAAGGTTGGAACATGCGGGTACGCATTTTTCTGCCAGCTCAGTCCAGTGATGTTGTTTACCGGAACTAAAGTGTAAAAGATAGTCAGCCGTTTTACCACTTGTTTTTAGGAACCAAAGCGAGTGATGAGTAAGCATAGGCCTGCGTAAGAAAGTTCAAGTTTTATTTCTTACTAATTTCCGTCCGTGACATGACATTCTCAGGGTGAATATCCGACAGGCCTTCAGCCTTCCCGTGTGGGACACGTGGCATCCTCTCTTCACTCCCAAGGGCAGGTAAGCTTTCTAGCATTTCCACCTCAGTTTCGAAGCATCCGAGTTTGTAACACCCATTCAGACAGGAAAGAAGAAGAAACACTCGCCTTCTCTTAGCTCTTTATACCAAAAGGTTCTTCTGCCATACACATCCAGATGTCAGGGATTGAACTTGCTGTTTTCTGGCCTTTTGTTTGTTTCTTCAATCTCCCTTTCCTCCATTCTACTGGTGCAAATGTTTTCCAATTCTGCGCGCACTTCTTGCGACTGCAGGCAGCAGGGGAGTCTTCGTCTCGCTCTAAAGTACTACCCGGTATGCTCACCTCCGTATCCACTTGCCCATCGTTTCTGTCGCTTTCACTGCCTCGTGCTGCCACTCGTCCCCCTCTTGATTCGTGCTGGCTTGCTTCCCCTTCTCCTTTTCTGCCCTGTTCGGACGACGTGTATGTAAGTTGCCAAAGAACCGGGAGCGTTCCAAGCGTTTTATTCCGGTGATCGTTTAAATCAACTCGGGAACTGTGGTCCTCATTTACGTGTTGCTTGTTGCACATGTTTTCCTGGAACCCATAGGTTCTTTCAGTAACATTCTGTGACCCGTCACTTGCCTGTCTCCCTCTTCCCCTTCCCCCTTTCCGCCACCCATCTCAGCCTCTCGGTGCACCTGGCGCCCCCGCCGCCGCAGCAGCAGCAGGAGCAGCAGCTGCTTCCCACTCCGCCCAACCCCCCCACGGATACCCCCAGCAGCACGCCCCTCCCCCGGGCGGCCACGCCCCTCCCCCTGGCGGCCATGCCCCCCCGCCATCTGGTTACCCTGGTTACCCGGCCCAAGGCGGTTACCCTGGCGCTGCCCCCGCGCCCTATGGCGCTCCTCCGCCTGGCGGGCATGTCCCCGCGCCCTATGGCGCTCCCCCCCACGGTGGACAACCCCCTGCGCCCTATGGCGCCCCTCCTCAAGGCTACCCGCCTGCTGGGCATGCGCCCGCCCCCTATGGCGCTCCCCCTCCCCACGGTTACCCTCCCCAGGGTTACCCGCCACAGGGTTACCCTGGTTATGGTGCTCCTCCTCCCGCCCATGGGCATGCGCCTCCTCATGTGCATCATGCTCCTAAGCCGGCTGTGGTGGTGGTGCATGGCCATGGTGAGTTGGGAGGAGTGAGTTTAGTGCATATGGGAAGGGCAGAGGTGAAGGGTTGGGGGCAGAGGGGAAGGGCAGGGGGCAGAGGGGAAGGGCTGGGGGAGAGGGGAAGGGCAAGGGGAAGAGGGGAAGGGCTGGGGGCAGAGGTGAAGGACCTAGGCTCTCTTTCCCTCTTCCGTATGCATGTGTGGATTCAAATGTGCACAAAATCTCACAACATCCTGCTCCCAACCCCCTCACCACTGCCCTCGTTCCCTGTACTTCCATCATTCTTTAAGTCACTTCCAGAACCTTTTTGTAGTTCATGTATATTTCTCACTGTGTATTAATCAACCTTTCCCTTCCCTTTTTGCCCAATTCTCACAGGCCACCACCACCATCACAAGCGCAAGTTCAAGGGCTTCATTGGTAAGCGGAAGGGGTTCTTTGGTAAGAGAAAGGGGTTCTTGGGGAAGCGCAAGGGCTTTTTCGGAGGCAAGGGCTTTTTCTAACCTTGGCTTGACAAGGATGCAAACTATTCCAAAACAATGTATGGTACAGTAGTAAAATTATGCCATGTTACGTCAATGCGCAGGTGGTAGGTGTAATTCATTGGCACTGTTTCTAGTAGAATCGTGTCCACAGTACTGCATCAGAATATGCATGTTTGTTACTGAATAATCTAAAACACGAGGGCAAGCCAGTATAAATACGTTTTCGGGGAGGAACCTTAATATGATGCCAGACCTTGTGTGTTTGAAGAAAGCGTTTGTGACAAGGGAAATTTTGGCTGATCCTTTACCTCTCTGAAGTTGAATTCCATCAAGTTGATATAGCCCAGTTAGGAATATTGATTGTACGAACAGTAGGCTAGCTTGAAGAACCACCCTGTAGTTTCACTATATGCACACGGACACGTTCTCACACACACACACACACACACACACACACACACACACACACACACACACACACACACACACACACACACACACACACACACACATACACACACACACACACACACACATGCAAACACTAACAATGGGCAACAACTAGTGGCGGCATCAATATCTGGGGGAAGGAAGAGTGCTAGCTTGCTCTTCACAATGGGGTGAAGATCAGACAGATGTGCACTGTCAAAGGTTGGGAGGGAAGGACCACTGCCAGCACAGAACCTTCACATTGCCAGCACCTTGCAGCAAGCCAAGGTTGCGAATGTACGGTAAGGCTCTACTGCGCTGTACAACCCTGTGCTGCCGCTTTCAGTTGCTGTGGAGGACAATTCAGCCCTGTGATCATGGAAAGGATTTTTGCCATACCTTGGACCTACGGTACCGGTAAGCGATCAGCAGTCTGAAGGTCCGACCCAATGAGGCTTGCTGTGCAGTGTAAGGTTGGGAGTGGGCTTTGAGCAGTAAACCGCCGCCTGATCACGGGCTTTAAATGTAGCGGCAGTGTGGTTGTGTACGGTCAGCGACTGCTGAGTGGACTGCTTGGGCTTTAAACAGGATGGTGGGGCGTGGGCTTCAAAGAGTGCGGTCCAGTGCGGACATTGGACAGTGCGGTAAGGGTCTCATGTATGGAGTGCCGCCATGACTGCGGTGATGGGAAGTGCACGGTGTGGACCAATTATGGGCTCTAAACAGTGAGGAACAGTGCAGCCATGACTGCTGAACAAACTGCAGCCATACCCGTGCAGCTTGGGGTTTACAGAGGGCAGCACCATGCGATCCAGTGCGGTTGACAGTGGGCTTTATACAGTGCGGTACAGGGCACAAGTGTACAGTGCTGCCATGATTGCCGAGCAGAGCGCAGCCACGCCCGACGGGGAGGGCTCCTTTCGCAGAAAGCAGCGTTCAGCTGCAAGCATGGAGGGAAGCAGGGATGCACGGGGTGAGATTGGGGGTTAAGCCCATATGAGGATGGGAACAGTGGGAGCAATGGGGGCAGGAGCAGAGTGAACCGATCAGAGTGCAGGGGAAGGCTCCTTGTGTGGGGAGTTGGGCTCAAGTGCGAGCAGGCAGGGAGGGAGAGAGACACAGGGGGACTAGTAAGCCGAACAGACTGCAGCCACGTCATCCAAAGTGTCACGGCCTAGCACACACTGTTTCGCTTTTGAGACGTTTTGCTTTTGAAAGATGTTGCAGATTGCAGCCACGTCTTATCCATTATCAGTTGCTGTTGTTTCTCCCCGTTTACAGTTTTACTCTTGCTTCTCGTTCTAGTTCCCTTCTGTTTTTTTGCTTTGTTGTCATTCACTCGTCTGACCGCCTAACAAGCACATGGTAGTTACCTCACACACTCACCCAAGCACAACGCACATAGTGACACCTCACCACACCGTACCACTCCAAACCACTCCGCCACTCACCTGACCACACAGAAACGCCAACGGATGCCCCAAGGCCCAGCACGTAAGAGTCGAACCCGTACCGCGTTCTGCAGACGAGGCAAAAGAAGTGGTGAAAGCAGAAGGATGAGACAAAAGGAAGAGACCAGTGCGCCATCAAGTTTATCCCACGAAGCTGTTGATTATTTTCCCTCCGTATTGTTAACTTTTTGGTGGGTAGATATAATCAAACTAGTTATGTTTTTGTAGTGGGCGAAAAGGGGCGAGTGGAACGTACGAGTTCAGGCGAAGGGCCGAAGCGATGAGCAACGAGGAGAGCCCGGCAGCCGTGCGAAGGAAATCCGGCGGCAGAACCTTCTCCTTCAAGCCTATAACGATACAGTAGCACGCGTGTAACGCGGCGAACGCCAGGCTGAGAAACGGCAGCGCGTCAATCTGATTGGCGCTCCGCCGGTTCCCCTCATCGCCGTCGTCTCCGCCGTCTCCCCCGCCGTCGCCGCCTTTCCCGTCGTCATCGTCCCCGCCTCTTCCGCCGCTGTCGCCGCCGCCGCCGCCAGCTTGTTCTTTGAAGATTCTTTCTTGTAAGCTTTTCATGGTTTGTCGCTCCATCATGGCATTGGCCCACGGCCCGTATCGGGTATCGAAGAAGCTTGAAGCAGGGTTGGATGAGGTCCCATGGGACGGAGTTGAGATATGTGGATGGTGAGGTAGGAGAATGTCCGGGTCTCCCTCGTCGGTTCGGAAGCACGTTGGGGTTCCGAAACTGTGGGGAGCACCGGTGGTTCGAAGTGCGATGTTGACTCGCTGTCGTGGTTGAAAAGTACGGAAATGATACGATTGTGATTGCAGCAGCAATAGACTCGTGTCGGACTGCTGCTCAGCTGAGGAGTTAGAGAGGAAGGAAGTGGACGAGTAGAGGGAGTGTACGGTCGGTTGAGCGTTGCTTCCCGAGTTGTTGATTGCAGGAGCCGGGACGACTGGGGAAGAGTGTCTACCGATTAACCCGCAGTCGGTTGTCTTGGAGTGGGTTACAGTCGACGCGGTCACCACGGAGTGAGTCATGGACAAAGCCGTTGCCATTGCGTCGGGGTTAACTTATGTACACGGGAGTCAGGACTGGATTCGAATCAGGAATGTGCGCGTGGTCTCAAGCCTCGAATAATGGCTTCAGGCGCACGAAGGCTGCAGTTGAAAGAGAACCGTCAGAGAAGTTGCGGAATGAGTGAGCCAGATACAGAAGAGAATGCGCATGGCATGAGCATATTTAGGAGCTTCCGTGCTTTCCAGCTGGAGATTGCAGCCTTCCTGTTGTTCGCTTCCAGTTGCTCGCTTGCAGTTGTGAGCATGAATGTGCTCTGATGAAGAGACGTTCTTGTCGCCTCGTCACACTTCTGAAGAGCTGGACTTCATAATGGTCAATATCGGAGAGTCTGATGACGAGTACAAGCTCTGAACTGCTCTGCTTGCCTGCTTTATCAGCTTTCAGAAGCACCGCGTCCGACAGTTTGTGAAGTCGTGCTTGTGCGACCCACAAAATCCAGCAGCGTCGGTTTGCAAGAGCAGCAACGAGCTGATTGAAGCACTGGGAACAACGACGGAAGAGCAAGGAAGAAACTCGTTTCAGCTGTTATCAGAATGCGTGCTACCTTCACAAGAATCTGCTTTATGGCGGTCGTTTGGGTTCATTGGACATTTCTCTCTTTCCAGCTGGAGAAAACGGACTCTAGTTCGGCTCAAATACCCAGCCCAACCAGTCTAACTATCAAACAAAACGTCCCAAAGCGCAATGGATCCTACTGTACCGTACAGGTGCGTCACGCCCTTGTACTATCTCCGTTGTTCCCATCGATGCAACAATTCCCTAGGCCAGGCTTCCGCCTTCTCCCACATTTCCCGTCCCAAACCGAAAACATTTCCCGAGCCAGCGTTGACAATGACGGGGGAATAAGGGAAGCTCGAACGTCAACTTCGAGAACTCGCCAAGCCACTGCCGAACCTGCCACATCTGTCAACAAGCGTCCTCGCACCTGCCCCCTAACCCCAATCGGGTCCCTCAACCCGCCACCTTAGCCTTCTGGGCCTTTCCGAGACAAAATCAAGCCAAGGGAGAACAACGATTGGCTAAAACTAGTGGTTCGTGCCGAGCTTAAATATCGGCGATTCGTATGGCTGATGAGCATTTCTTTCCGGTGTGGATGTACTTTGTCGGAGAACTTTTTTTTCATAATCCCATTCCATCCACTAAGCGGCAATGTTTCCAGCACGCGACAGGCAGGAAAGTTAATAGAAATGCTGTTCTGCAGGGATTTTCACACTCTTGACAGTACTTTCCCTAACTCCCCAATCTCTGGTTTCCTAGTCTGACTGGCGCCAGCGTGGAACTCAAGCTTGCTGACTGCCATTCCAGGAAAATGGTGGGAGATGCTGCCGTCAACGGGGAAGAAAAGCAACTCTGGGCCTTCATTCATGGGAGTGTGACGCTGGAACGCATGACACTGACGTGGAATCCGCAGAGAAGGCAGAACGGGGACAACGACGTGAAATCTCGCTTCCCGGAGTTACGAACAGCTGAATAGGTTCAATTATTCTATCCTATACTTCGACCAATATTTTCAACACTGGATTTTCATTTATGGACGGCCAATCACATATAACCACATCCATGCCGTGTTGAATTGACACTACCGGTACAGATCGAGTGTGCAAGGAGGGCCTTTCAGTAATCATATATACAACTCTCGGGTCATGCAAACAAGCACACCATGGATTGGCACCTGAATTTGCAATACTGGTCAGTCATCAGGGCTAACTTTAGTAAAATGACCCATCTGGCTTTAAGACCGGGTCCTGGCTCATTGTCTGATTGTCAGACGAAAGCTGTGACATTGTCTAGCTTTTCAGACGAATGCAAAGTTCTTGTCTGAAATTTCAGATGAAGATATATAGCTAGCTTAAAAAACAAGGAATGGTAAGTACCATCAACACACAGTGTTTAATCGTCCAGTCAGTAGAATCTGTTACTTGTGATAACTGGGGCTTCGGGTTTGAATCCAGTTGCCAGACTTTGCCAGGCAGGCACAGTCATCTTTCTGTTTTACTAAAGTTTTGCCTTCAGACGAGAAAAGACTCGATATCTGCAGTCTCAGACGAGCTGTATAA